GGGGGGGGGGGGGGGGGGGTAGGGGAAGCTGCACGTGGGAAAGAAATAATGAGACTGCTGGTAAGAGAGGGTCTGGGACAAATAATAGAGTGAAAAGAAGTTGGCGGCAAAGGCGGAAGGGTTGGGAATAAGAGGGTGGTTAGGACTTAGGAGAAAGCAAAGGAAACATGGTGGGTACAATATACCGGTTTGATGTCGGTCGGCTCGCGTGTGAGAGAGGTCGACATGTGATGTCGGCGAAGGACAAGGCAACCTTTTGTACGCCAATTGGAAATAGGCGATACACGTTGTGAGTGCCAAGTCACGGAGGACGGTCCATTAGCACTGGAGTTTCTTCTTGTCTTGCTAGCAGATTTGGTGGGTACAGGATAATGACTGGATGACGATCAGTGCACGTGTGAGGGAGGTTGACGTGTGATGTCGGTGAAGGGTAATGCAACCTTTTGTACGTCAATTGGAAATAGGTAATGGGCCCCAAGTGGACAGTCCATTGGCGCTGGAGTTCCTTGTCTTGCTAGCAAACAGTGCTACCATGTGCTGATATGCAAAGTCAATGTGTGTACAAAAACGAAACAGTTGTTGACTGATGACACCATCGGGGAGGGATTCCGTTGTCACTCACTGTTTTGTCTTTGGACACGCATTGGTGTAATCAGTCATGAACAAGACCACGGCACAGTTTTGTGTGTCCAGAGGAAGACGGTGCTCTCGAGTTTCTGGTGCGATCGGTCAATGCAATACAGTGCCATGGCATGGATCACGGCGTGATCTTTGCACAACTGGAGGATACGCGATCAGCATGCTCACATTAGGACTTTCCTGGATGTACCTAACCATTATTACGGCTAGGGGGCACTCCTCTGTCCTTTTCCCCTTTGCCTTCTACGCTTTACACATTTTGTTTTCGTTTCTCTTCTGTGTTCATGAGAGAGAGAGAGAGAGAGAGAGAGAGAGAGAGAGAGAGAGAGAGAGAGAGAGAGAGAGAGAGAGAGAGAGAGAGAGAGACACGTGATCTTTGCACAACTCAAGGATACGTGATCAGCATGCTCACATTAGGACTTTCCTGGATGTACCTAACCATAATTATGGCTAGGGGCCACTTCCTCTGTCCTTTTCCCCTTTGCCTTCTACGCTTTACACATTTTGTTTTCGTTTCTCTTGTGTGTGTTCATGTGGAACTTTCCCTTTTGAGAGAGAGAGAGAGAGAGAGAGAGAGAGAGAGAGAGAGAGAGAGTTCCGGCGCAAGAACGTCCAGGCAGAGACAGGGGAGGACTGGAAGATGGGATGATGGGTTGTGTCTGTGTGCATGTGAGAGAGAGGGAGAGGGAGGGGGGGGAAACGGATGCTTTTCTTTCCAATTTATCTTTCGTTCCTTAAATGCACGTCCGTGTCTCTTTTTATCATTTGTTTTCTTTTTTTTCTTTCTTTTTTTTTCCTTTTTTTTTTTTTATCAGAACAACCCGAGGCAGTGGTAGGGGTGCTGATAAGAGCAGACACCGCTATCACACTCGGGGAGGCTCCATCTATTGGTGGGGAGCTGCACCTGCTGGAAACCGAGTCCAGCGTCCCAGAACAACATGTTTCTTTGTTTACACAGACATTTGGTCGCGGCAGCCGGTAGCTGTATAGTCCATCCACGAGGGAGGCGATTTGTCAATCTGGCCACACACCTACTCAATATCCTGAGTTGTTTGCCTACATGACAGGTTTAGTTGGGTGGTAGTAGACCCGAGCACGATGGCTGCTATCTCCGTACAGTCATGGAGCCGGGCCCCATCACCCACGAAGGGGCCGCAGTGCATGCAGGCAAAACCGGCCTCCCGTTCCCCCGCCCCCACCCTTTGGAACACGAGTTTTTTGAACAATGTTAAACAATAGTAGACTGTGTTAGTTATGTTTNAGGCAAAACCGGCCTCCCGTTCCCCCGCCCCCACCCTTTGGAACACGAGTTTTTTGAACAATGTTAAACAATAGTAGACTGTGTTAGTTATGTTTTGAGACTGCTGCAAACTGCGGGKATTTTATGTGTCCCCAAGTCTGCGGTTGAACCTTCTGTACCTCTTCACTCTTCCTCTGAGCGCCTGATATGTCATGATGTTTTCTGGTACTTCGTCATGCGGGGGTTTGGGGAGTACAATCTAACCCCCTAACCCCTAAAGCCTCAGCACATTACAGTCTCTTTTATTGCAAGTCATGGTAAGTTAGTCAAGTAAARGCSAGCMGGAGCTCCRGCAYGCCAGCACAGCCTTAGAGCAAAGTTGCAAATTTGCAAGTTGTGCCTGTTTCCAGACAGGGGCAGCCAGACTGACCCAGA